TTCAGTGAATGTTGTGGGCCGAGTCAGGGAACATGGCATGCTGCAATACTGAGCTTTGTCTCTTCAGAGAGAGCTAGGTTTAACTCTTATGTGAAATAAAATAGAAGTTGTACCTCTAGAGGTTCTTTATGTGTATTTGTGGTTGGGTGGGTGGTTTGGAGCAGTGCTGGAGGGAGAAATACACTTGGATAACACTTGGTCCCTATAAGCATGGCCAGTTTTTTAGACCATTATAATCTGAGGAGGTCTGTCTACTCTGAAATCAAGGGGCTGTCGGGAATCACTACACAGAGCTGAATTTATGTTGTTTTTATTGCTGCGATACCTTCTATTAATATAAAGCAATAAGTAAGAGTACTCTATGATTAATAGACTAAAAAAACCGAGATGACTAGCTTTTCACTTAAAGCAATTTCTAGTCTGTTATACAATTACTCACTTAGTCTCAAAACTTTATTATCTTTTTAAATCATAATTAATATAGAAAATCTGATACATTTCTGCTTCCTAATCACTGCTTATCCAAGCGCTCACAATCTTTTATAATTCAATTTTGTACTACTATCATACTTGTTTTATAAATGGGAAATATTAGATTTTTCTATTTTGGTGAGAGAATCTTGTTATGGTAGTTGCAAGCAACACTGAGTTAAGCCAAAGAATTAGAATCTAAATATACACTGATACTAAGAAAATTACACATTTTTGAAAATCTTAATGATGACAAAACTAAAGAATAAGAAATGATTTTTACATTTATAAATTTAGTATCCTAGAGCATGTTTTCTGTTTGAAAATTGCTTAAAATTTTCATTACAAAGCTTTTAGGAGCATTTTCTATCTTGATCATATGAAATATAGCAAGGATAACCCAGAGATTTACAATTTCCCAGAACATTGCTCTCACTTAGTTCAATTCAAAAGACAGATGTATAGCCCTAAAAAAGAATGCTAAGATCTGGTACTTGTCTTCAAGTGGGAAAACTGGAATAACTTCAATAGAGTGCCATGACAGGTACTTTAATAAGGGCATGCACAGTGTGCTGTAGGTGCACGTGAAAGAGACTTAAACTTAGTTGGAATGAGCTGTTTTCTCTAGGAGTAGCTTTGTGCCTTGTGAAAGACACAGTTTTTGAGAGTCTTGAATATTATACTCTGTAGAAGCTGCAATAATCATGAGAGATGACTGGTGTACCCTGGGATAAGAGTGCCTACACTGGAAGGTTGATGACTTGGAAAGCACTGGCAGAGGCCTTCATGCCAGAGAAGTAACTCAAAGATACAGCGCTATTATGGTTGAAGGACTGCATTACCAACAACCTAGTGATTTAGCATCTCTGTATTGTTTGTTGAGTTAGGGTCCTTCGTGGAGAAGGTGAGCTATATATCAACATCTCATCTTCACCTTTCCCCCCACTACACCAGTCACCAAAAGGCAGGGAAAAGTGAATCTGGGACAATGAAGTGAGATTAAAACCATAAGAAAGAGTAGAGATGACATATCACAGTCAACTAAGTTTTACTTAAGCTGGGAAATGCTTGTAATTCATTTTACCTGTGCCTGATATAGAGGAACTCCCCAGATACAGAGAGAAGAGTTTTGGAGAAAATGGTAGTGACAGGAGCTCCTGCCACAGCAGCAGATGAAAAATGCTTGTTGATGTTGGCTCTCTCACCGGCAAAGTTTACCTCACTGGGTATCTGGGGATGACATTCAGAAGTGTCCAGCATGATGTACTAACAGGTGGCCTGGAGTTCCAGGCGGGGTAGACTTGTATGTTTGGAAGGCTGTACCGTGGCCCAGCTCTAATCAGGTGTTAAGTAAAGTTGAATAGAGACCTGGGCTTCTTATGGCCAGAGTGGGGACATTTCTTTCCATTCCTTTTTCTTTCTTTCTTCCTTTCTTCCTCTTTCTTTCTTCCTCTTTCTTTCTTTCTTTTCTTTCTTTCTTTCTTTCTTTCTTACTTTCTTTCTTTCTTTCTTTCTTTCTTTCTTTCTCTCTCTCTTTCTTTCTTTCTTTCTTTCTTTCTCTCTCTCTTTCTTTCTTCCTTCTTTCTTTCTTTCTTTCTTTCTCCCTCTCTCTCTTTTTCCTTTCTTCCTTTTCTTTCTTCCTTTCCTTCCTTCCTTCCTTCTCATGAAGCTTTGTCTCTTGCAGGGATTTTTCCTGAAACCAGGACGTTTTGGTTCCCCATAAGAAAATTCCAACTTTCTAGAAAATATGCTATTGTGCATCCTGAAAAATATGATTCTGAAAGTGTTGGCCAGTTGATGCTGGTGGTAAGGGATGGTGTTGTGGAATTTCCTAGTTGTAAAACATTTAATCAGGTTATTGGAGAGGCCAACGCATTACTTGTGGGCACTCATTTAGTTTGGTTTGGTACTAATGGGAAGGTGAAACTTCACTTTGATACATACCGTAAAACTTTTTCTACTTCTATACCTTTAACTTGAGTGAAAATTATTATAACTCTAAATAAGCATGTTATAAAATAAACCACACAAGAAGGACAGACAAACTCTAGTGGTGATGAAGTTGGAATTAGAAAAAGTTTCTTAAAGAAAGTGAGTTAGTTCTTTCTTGAAGGAGGCCATAGATGCAGATTTGTGTCTGTGTTATAATCTGTACTGAAGAGTTCATTTAATCAAAGGCAAAAAAGGAGTCAGATAATGACAATACCATGTGGCAAGTTTTGTCAGGGATTTATACTACTTTTCTATTGTTATATAACAAATTATCCCAGAACTAAATGGCTTAAAACAACCTGGAAGTTTCTGTGGGTCAGGAGCTGGCTTAGTGGTCCTTTGAGTCAGGGTCCCTAACAAGGCTGGAATAAAAATTGGGCTGAAGTTGTCACGAAGCTTATCAGGGTGGGTCTGTTTCCAGGCACACTCAGGTGGTGGTTGGCAGGATTCAGTTCCTTGTGAAGTGTTAGACTGAGGACTTTAATTCTTTGCTGCAATTGTCTGGAGGCCGTCATCAGTTTCTCACTGGGTGGGCCTCTCTGTAGGGCAGCCCATAGCATGCCAACTGGCTTCATCAGAGTAAGCGAAAGAAAGAACAAGAGAGGGGGTGCAAGCAACATAGGAGTCATAGTTTTTATAATTTAATCTCAGAAGTGACATTCATCACTTTTGAATTGGAGTCAATTTGAATTGGAATCCTACTCTGTTAGAAGCAAGTCTCTAGGTTGAGCCTATACTCAAGGGAAAGAGATTATACAAAGGCATAAATGGCAAGGGGTGAGAATCATTGGGGACCATTTTAGAAACTGCTTGCAACACCCAGAAGAAAATATCTGTCCAAAAGTTCATGAACCTTTCCTAGTAGGAAGTAAGAGTGTTTTTCAGGCCAGCAAGTGGCATAGAATTAAATACTGAATTGACAAGTTATCTCACTTCTCTTTAGGTTCAGAGTGTACTAGATTGGATGCAGCTGAAAGAGCTAAAAGAAACTGAAGCTTGGAGAGGTTACAAGCACTTATCATTTATTGAAAAGGTGTGTGCAAGAAATTATGTTGGCTGCCTTCATATTTGATTTTCAAAAAATGCTGCATGAAATAGAGTGTTAGCCTTGGTGGTAAGGCTGCTTCACGTTGCTGTGCAGATTGTGCCCTGCATAATTCCTAGGTCACCACCAGTGATGTGAACAGCATGGGTGGGTGCGTGTGCACACGGTGGCTGTTTAGTGGTTACACCCTTGTGTCTGGCACCAGCACTTCGTTACTAGTGATGTGACTTTGTCAAGTCAAAAAAAGTCTCCAAATCTTTGTTTCCTCATCTCCAAAATAAGGACTTCAGTAACTCTTAGGATTGCTCTGAGGATTCAATCATCATCATCACTATCACTTACTCAATGTTTACTAGGATCCAGGCATTCCTCTCAGTATTTTGAATACATTAACTTTCACAGTAACTCCATAAAGAAGGTATTTTTATGGTCTCATTTTTACCAATGAGGAAACTAAGGCATAGAGAGGTTAAGTAATTTGCTGAAGGTCACAGAACTATAATCTGTGTTTTTAATGCCTGCACTATACTGCTTCTCAGTGTAGAGTTAAGACCATAGCACAGTGGCCAGCACTTAGTACAAACTCAGCATTAGCTCTTATTTTACCTCTATTTTGCTAATACAAAATCTAAGGCTCAGAAGTAGTTATTAACTTACCTAAAGAGTAACCCAACTCTTAAATGGGAGACCCACGATTTTAATCCATACTGGATCCAGGGCTCATGGTGTTATTTGTTGTGCTTTGTTTTATTCAAAATAAATATCCCAACTCCAAAGTGGTCTTCGTCTAAAGGAAAACTACTTGGATAGCTCCTCAGGGCACTGCCATATTATAGTTCAGCACAAACACTGATGTGGATAAGGATAATTCTAGGCCGTCAAGAAAAGGATAAATTTTATATAATATGCCTTCTGTAAGAAGGA